TCATCCTAACCCTAACCCTAACCCTAACTCTAGCCGTAGCCCTAAACCCAAGGCTATTAGGAAGGGGTACAGCTAATTGCGATTCTAAGCCTAATCCTGAACTACTGCTGGCGAAAACGACCAAAAAACGATAAAAACATTAACCCTAACCCTAACCCTAACCCCAACCGTCATCCTTGTCCTAAACCAAAATCTATTACCAAGACATACAGCTAATTACAATTCTAAGACAGGCAATGCGAATACTGGTGCAAACGGAAAACCAATCGCTCACCCTAACCCTAACCCTAACCCTAACCCTAACCCCAACCCTAACCCTAACTCTAACCCTAACTCTAGCCCTAGCCCTAAACCCAAGGCTATTAGGAAGGGGTACAGCTAATTGCAATTCTAAGCCTAATCCTGAACCAATGCTGGCGAAAACGATCAAAAAACGATAAAAAACATTAACCCTAACCCTAACCCTAACCCTAATACTAACATTAACCCCAACCCTAACCCTCATCTTAAACCAAAATCTAATACCAAGGCATACAGCTAATTGCAATTTCTAAGCCACGGGCAATGCGAATGCTGGTGCTAAGGCAAAACCAAACACTAACCCTAACCCTAACCCTAACCCTAACCCTAACCCTAACCCGAACACTGACCCTAGCAATGAACCAAATCTAATATCCAAGCTTACTTTTATTTGCAATTCTAAGCCTGGCCTTGAACTAATGCATTTGAAAACGAGTAAAATAACGACAAAAAACCCTATCTGAAAATGATCAAAAAACGATAAAAAACATTAACCCTAACCCTAAACCTAACCCGGTTCATTAAACCCTTACGCTAACACAAACCCTAACCCTAAACCTAAACCAAAATATAATACCAAGGCATATAGCTAATTGCAGTTCTAAGATACAGGCAATGCGATTGCTGGTGCAAACGCAAAATCAAACGCTAACCATAACCCTAACCCTAACCCTAACCCGAATTCTAGGCCCTAGCCCTAAACCAAAGGCAATTAGGAAGGGGTACAGCTAATTGCAATTCTAAGCCTAATCCTGAAACAATGCTGGCGAAAACGATCACAAAACGATAAAAAATATTAAACCTAACCCTAACCCTAACCCTAACCGTAACCCTAACCCTTTCCCCAACCCTAACCCTCATCTTAAACCAAAATCTAATACCAAGGCATACAGCTAATTGCAATTCTGAGCCACGGGCAATGCGAATGCTGTTGCAAACGCAAAACCAAACGCTAAACCTAACCCTAACCCTAACCCTAACCCTAACCCAAGCACTGACCCTAGCAATGAATTAAATTTAATATCTATGCTTACTTTTATTTGCAATTCTAAGCCTGGCCTTGAACTAATGCATTTGAAAACGAGTAAAGTAACGACAAAACCATTAAACCTAACCCTAACCCTAACCCTAACCCTAACCCTAACTCTAGCCCTAGCCCTAAACCAAAGACTATTAGGAACGGGTACAGCTAATTGCAATTCTAAGCCTAATCCTGAACCAATGCTGGCGAAATGATCAAAAAACGATAAAAAAACATTAACCCTAAGCCTAACCCTAACCCTAACTCTAACCCTAACCCAAACCCTAACCCTAATCCTAAACCAAAACATAATACGAAGCCGTACCAGCTAATTGTAATTCTAAGATACAGGCAATGCGAATGCTGGTGCAAACGCAAAATCAGACGCTAACCCTAACCCTAACCCTAACCCTAAACCGAATACTGACCCTAGCCCTTAACCAAATCTAATACCTTTAAAAGCTTCCATTTATTTGAATTTCTAAGCCTCGCTTTGAACTAATGCTGTTGAAAACGAGTGAAAAAACGACAAAAAAACATTAACCCTAACCCTAACCCTAACCCTAACCCTAGCCCTAACTCTAGCCCTAGCCCTAAACCAAATCTAATACCCAAGCTTACATTTATTTGCAATTCTAAGCACGGCCTTGAACTCATACTATTGAAAACGAGGAACAAAAACGATAAAAAACATTAACCCTAACCCTAACCCTAACCCTAACCCTAACCCTAACCCCAACCGTAACCCTTATCCTAAACCAAAATCTAATACCAAGGCATACAGCTAATTACAATTCTAAGACACAGGGAATGCGAATACTGGTGCAAACGCAAAACCAATCGCTAACCCTGAACCCTAACCCTAACCCTAACCCTAACCCTAACCCTAACCCTAACCCTAGCCCTAACTCTAGCCCTAGCCCTAAACCAAAGATTATTAGCAAGGGGTACAGCTAATTGCAATTCTAAGCCTAATCCTGAACCAATGCTGGCGAAAACGATCACAAAACGATAAAAAAACCACTAACCCTAACCCTTACCCTAACCCTAACCCTAACCCTTTCCCCAACCCTAACCCTCATCTTAAACCAAAATCTAATACCAAGGCATACCGCTAATTGGAATTCTGAGCCACGGGCAATGCGAATGCTCTTGCAAACGCAAAACCAAACGCTAACCGTAACCCTAACCCTAACCCTAACCCTAACCCTAACCCTAACCCTAACCCTAACCCTAACCCTAACCCTAACCCAAATACTGACCCTAGCCCTAGACCAAATCCAATACCTTAAACTTCCATTTATTTGAATTTCTAAGCCTGGCCTTGAACTAATGCTCTTGAAAACAAGTAAAAAACGACAAAAAAACATTAACCCTAACCCTAACCCTAAACCTAACTCTAGCCCTAGCCCTAAACACAATCTAATGCCCAAGCTTACGTTTATTTGCAATTCTAAGCCTGGCTTTGAACTAATGCTGTTGACAACGAGTAAAAAAACGACATAAAATCATTCACCCTAACCCTAACCCTAACCCTAACTCTAGCCGTAGGCCTAAACCCAAGGCTATTAGGAAGGGGTACAGCTTATTGCAATTGTAAGCCTAATCCTGAACTACTGCTGGCGAAAACGACCAAAAAACGATAAAAACATTAACCCTAACCCTAACCCTAACCCCAACCGTAATCCTTATCCTAAACCAAAATCTAATACCAAGACATACAGCTAATTACAATTCTAAGACAGGCAATGCGAATACTGGTGCAAACGGAAAACCAATCGCTCACCCTCACCCTAACCCTAACCCTTCCCCTAACCCCAACCCTAACCCTAACCCTAACCCTAACTCTAGCCCTAGCCCTAAACCCAAGGCTATTAGGAAGGGGTACAGCTAATTGCAATTCTAAGCCTAATCCTGAACCAATGCTGGCGAAAACGATCAAAAAACGATAAAAAACATTAACCCTAACCCTAACCCTAACCCTAACCCTAACCCCGACCCTAACCCTAATCCTAAACCAAAATATAATACCAAGGCATATAGCACATTAGAGCTTGCGGTAATGTAGGTTAACACATTGCACAAGCCACCACTTCACACGCGCTCCAGCGGCTTCCAAAGAGCCCGCAGATCCCACGCTATTCATTGATGCATGTCAAGTAACACGTACATGCACGCTGTGGTGGCATGTAACATGCGTACGCCGGAACTCACCTGAACTCGCCAGCCAACCAGCCATATGCGGCTGCAGCACACATCGGAGCTTGAACCCGTAACGCATACACCATACTTCGCGCTGGCCGTATTGCTACTTCATATTTGCTAGGTTACCCGTCGCCGCTCGGGTAGGGCTTCGACCTCGCCATACGCGCGGACTGACGGCATGCGCGCCTTCGCGCCTGATGCCTCCGACACACCGTCAGCAGCTAGTTCAGACTTCTGACCCCGCTCCAGGCACCGACGCTTCTATGCAGGACGAGCCCTCATTGCTCTCCCCGGACATCATTTCCTCAGCCGTTATGAAGATGAACGCCCTCCACCCTCTCCTCGAACGCGTGGAACGCCTGGAGAACAAACAGTGCTGAGTCTGATCTGGAAGCCGATCTCTCCCACGCGCGCGCTCCGCACCCGAAAGATCGCTCCCACGCTCCGAACGTCAAGCTCCGGACCTATCCTGCCCGGAACTTCCAGTTCTATCGGAACCTCGGACTTTGCCAGGACCTCCAGTTCTCTCCAAGCCCTCGGTTCTACCCACACCGCCACGTCGTGCGATTGAAAAAATCCAGCGCGGAGAGTTTGTGGAACTTGAGGAACTCTTGCTGGAAAATTTCAGCTCCCCGGGACAGGAGCCAATACAACTGGTTACAGCTGGCGGCGACATGGCTCAGCTCTCGCTCAACCTCAGCGCAAACCACACGCGCGCCGCGCGCGATCAACGACTTCTCGGCTTGGCTGGAGGCCTGGACGATCCACATGGGCATCGTCGTTCTTGCTCGTCCTGACCGAGCTGATGAGCTCGTCTGCTACCAGCACATACTTTGTACTGCGAACCAACAGTTCACGACGTCTGCTGTGCTGAACTATGATCGAGCATTTCGCCAACACACCGCCAGCATGGCACTGCGCTGGGACGTGATCAATCAGACGCTGTGGAGTATTCGCCTACTCCACTCTCCCCGTCTGTCATGCAGACGTCTCCTGTGCTGAACTATGATCGAGCATTTCGCCCACACACCGCCAGCATGGCACTGCGCTGGGACGTGATCAATCAGACGCTGTGGAGTATTCGCCTACTCCGCTCTCCCCGTCTGTCATGCACCAAATGCACGCTCCAAAACAGCCGCGACCGCTGCCTGCCCACATGCCGCAGCTCAACACGCACAGCCCTTTCCATCAGTGGCGGGCAGCACCCGCCAAGACTGTTTTTAACTTCAACCGCGGCAGGCCCTGTTCCCGCACACCCTGCGACCGTCTCTATGCCTGCAGCTCATGTGAAGACAAAGGACATGCCGCCACATCCTGCACCAGCACCACCCGCTTCAGGTGGCAGCGCCCTGCAGATAGCCACGAGAAGACTTCGAAGCCCACTGAGAAAAAGTAAGCCGACTTCCACTCCCCTGAACACTGTTCGCTTTCACACATTACTGCCTTCCTCGGAATTGTGCTGGACACGGTGCGCATGGAAGCCCGTCTCCCAGACGACAAACCGACGGACCTCCGCGAGCTCCTCAGCGAGCTGTCACGCTGCACTCAGACCACGCAACGCAAACTCGATCACTTCCTGGGGAAACTCTCCTTTGCGTCGAGCGTCGTCGTACCAGGCAGAACATTTACGCGGCGCTTATGGGATATCAACAAGAGGTTTAGCCGCGCCAAGCCCTATTTCCGTATCACTCTGACAGGCATTCCAGCAGCTGGCACCATCGGCACAGCAAGCCCCGGACACTGCAATCCGCCTCCCTCTCCTGGACTGATGCAGGAGGTCGCCGACCTGGCAGCCATGGCAATCGCCCCGACAACACGGCGCACGTACGCCACTGGCGAAAGGAAATTTACGCAATTCTGTGCGTTGCAGAGATGGACGCCCATGCCGGCTACAGACACGATGCGAAGTTGCTTCGCAGCACACCTCACACAATCGGTTCAACCACAGACAATGCATGTCTACATGGCCGCAGTACGCAACATGCATCTCGAAGCCGGATTCCGAGATCCAACGAGGAACGCATTGCTGCCGCCACGTGTTATGCGAGGCATCAAGAGGACGGCGACTGACCCGGCAATCCAGCGCACTCGCCTCCCAATCACCATTGATTTGCTGCGGAAGCTCCTCAACCAACTCAGCCTGGACCAACGGCGTCACCAGCAGGACAAGGGCATGCTCAAGGCGGCAATGGTGCTCGCCTTCTTCGGATTTCTTCGATGCGCTGAATTCACTGCGCCTCCAGCCGGGTTTGACCCTGCCACTCATGCCACGCGCCAGGATGTGACTCTGGATGTCACTCAAGGACGCACATATATCCGCTTCCACATCAAGCAATCGAAGACGGACCAATTCGTCAGGGCCATGCAGATAGTCGGTAGTACCACTTCACAACCTTGCCCGGTTGCCGCCCTCCTGGCATATTTTACAGTCTGTCCGTCTGACGCCACTGACGCACTCTTCCGCTACCGCCCTGGGAGACCGCTGACCAGGCAGGCACTGACAGAAGAGCTCCGACAGCTTCTCCCACTCACGGGAACACCCAATTCACGCGATTACGCTGGTCATTCGTTCCGCATCGGTGCCGCCACAACTGCAGCCATGGCGGGTACCCCGGACTGGCTAATCAGGGCAATGGGCTGATGGAGAAGCGACAGTGCCTTGCGCTACATCAGGACAACCGACACAGACATGGCGCAGCTGACCCAAAAGCTGTCAGAGGTACAAGCGCATCAGAGAACGCATGGAGGTATGTAAGAACCCGCCACGCGGGCACGCAACTCGCACCCATGCACGTACCCACACGGCTGACCGTTTGGAACAGCACAGCAACTTGCTCTGCTAGGATTGTGCTGACAAACTGCGCTGATAGCAACAACAGTGTCATTCACGTGCATTGCAATGTGTCACAACTTAGCATGGAGGCTGGGCAACCATGGGCCAGCTATCTCCTCTCATCTGGCAATTATCACGGCCTTCGGCCATCACACTCATACTCCCACACTCCTGCCTCCTAACGGGCATTGCACTTCGTGCGTGGGCCGTCCACACTCCGTCCATTTCATGGGCGCCCATCTCATGGGCTGCACTTTGTGCGTGGACATACATACACACTATCATACAGGCCGTCCACACTCCGCCCAGTTCATGGGTGCCCATTTCATGGGCTGCACCTCGTGTGCGTGGGCCGTCCACACTCCGTCCATTTCATGGGCGCCCATCTCATGGGCTGCACTTTGTGCGTGGACATACATACACACTATCATACAGGCCGTCCACACTCCGCCCAGTTCGTGGGTGCCCATTTCATGGGCTGCACCTCGTGCGTGGACTATCCTACATGATTATCACATGCCAGATTCGGTTGCCCAGCACTCCATGAATCCTCCATATGATGTGTGCTCTCCACTGGTCTGCAATAGCGAGTGCATGCGTGTTAATAGCACATTAGAGCTTGCGGTAATGTAGGTTAACACATTGCACAAGCCACCACTTCACACGCGCTCCAGCGGCTTCCAAAGAGCCCGCAGATCCCACGCTATTCATTGATGCATGTCAAGTAACACGTACATGCACGCTGTGGTGGCATGTAACATGCGTACGCCGGAACTCACCTGAACTCGCCAGCCAACCAGCCATATGCGGCTGCAGCACACATCGGAGCTTGAACCCGTAACGCATACACCATACTTCGCGCTGGCCGTATTGCTACTTCATATTTGCTTTGCTTGGGTAGTGAGAAGAACACCGGTTTGTTCCTTTCTCACCCACCCACCTCTTCCCATCTATGAATAATATTGATATCCTTGATTCAACACAGGTATCATAATTCATACAAGACGAAAATAAATAGGAGTGCTGGGCCAGCTATCTCCTCTCATCTGGCAATTATCACGGCCTTCGGCCATCACACTCATACTCCCACACTCCTGCCTCCTAACGGGCATTGCACTTCGTGCGTGGGCCGTCCACACTCCGTCCATTTCATGGGCGCCCATCTCATGGGCTGCACTTTGTGCGTGGACATACATACACACTATCATACAGGCCGTCCACACTCCGCCCAGTTCATGGGTGCCCATTTCATGGGCTGCACCTCGTGTGCGTGGGCCGTCCACACTCCGTCCATTTCATGGGCGCCCATCTCATGGGCTGCACTTTGTGCGTGGACATACATACACACTATCATACAGGCCGTCCACACTCCGCCCAGTTCGTGGGTGCCCATTTCATGGGCTGCACCTCGTGCGTGGACTATCCTACATGATTATCACATGCCAGATTCGGTTGCCCAGCACTCCATGAATCCTCCATATGATGTGTGCTCTCCACTGGTCTGCAATAGCGAGTGCATGCGTGTTAACAGCTAATTGCAGTTCTAAGCCACAGGCAATGCGAATGCTGGTGCAAACGCAAAACCGAACGCTTACCCTAACCCTAACCCTAATCCTAACCCTACCCCTAACACTAACCCTAACCCTAGCCCTAGCCATAAACCAAAGGCTATTAGGAAGGGGTACAGCTAATTGCAATTCTAAGCCTAATTCTGAACCAAGGCTGGCTAAAACGATCAAAAAAGGAAAAAAATAACATAAACCGTAACCCTAACCCTTATCCTAACCCTAACCCTAACCCTAACCCTAACCCAAACACCGACCCTAGCCCTGAACCAAATCTAACACCTTAAGCTTCCATTTATATGCAATTCTAAGCCTGGCCTTGAAATAATGCTGTGGAAAACGAGTAAAAAAACGACAAAAAAACATTAACCCTAACCCTAACCCTAACCCTAACCCTAACCCTAACCCTAACCCTAACTCTAGCCCTAGCCCTAAACCAAATCTAATACCCAAGCTTACATTTATTTGCAATTCTAAGCCTCGCCTCGAACTAATGCTGTTGAAAACGAGTAATAAAAACGATATAAAAACATTAACCCTAACCCTAACCCTAACCCTGGCCTTGAAATAATGCTGTGGAAAACGAGTAAAAAAACGACAAAAAAACATTAACCCTAACCCTAACCCTAACCCTAACCCTAACCCTAACCCTAACCCTAACCCTAACTCTAGCCCTAGCCCTAAACCAAATCTAATACCCAAGCTTACATTTATTTGCAATTCTAAGCCTCGCCTCGAACTAATGCTGTTGAAAACGAGTAATAAAAACGATATAAAAACATTAACCCTAACCCTAACCCTAACCCTAACCCTAACCCTAACTCTAGCCCTAGCCCTTAACCCAAGGCTATTAGGAAGGGGTACAGCTAATTGCAATTCTAAGCCTAATCCTGAGCCAATGCTGGCGAAAACGATCAAAAAACGATAAAAACATTAACCCTAACCCTAACCCTAACCCTAACCCTAACCCCAACCCTAACCCTAATCCTTAACCAAAATATAATACCAAGGCATACAGCTAATTGCAATTTTAAGCCACAGGCAATGCGAATGCTGGTGCAAACGCAAAACCGAACGCTAACCCTAACCCTAACCCTAATCCTAACCCTAACCCTAACCCTAACCCTAACCCAAACACTGACCCTAGCCCTGAACCAAATCTAACACCTTAAGCTTCCATTTATTTGCAATTCTAAGCCTGGCCTTGAACTAATGCTGTTGAAAACGACCAAAAAACATTAACCCTAACCCTAACCCTAACCCTAACCCTAACCCTAACCCTAACCCTAACCCTAACCCTAACCCTAACTCTAGCCCTAGGCCTAAACCAAATCTAATACCCAAGCTTACATTTATTTGCTATTCTAAGCCTGGCCTTGAACTAATGGTGTTGAAAACGAGTAATAAAAACGACATAAAAACATTAACCCTAACCCTAACCCTGACCCTAACCCTAACCCTAACCCTAACCCTAACTCTAGCCCTAGCCCTAAACCCAAGGCTATTAGGAAGGGGTACAGCTAATTGCAATTCTAAGCCTAATTCTGAACTAATGCTGGCGAAAACGATCAAAAAACGATAAAAAAACAAAACCGAACGCTAACCCTAACCCTAACCCTAATCCTAACCCTAACCCTGACCCTAACCCTAACCCAAACACTGCCCCTAGCCATGAACCAAATCTAACACCTTAAGCTTCCATTTATTTGCAATTCTAAGGGGGCCTTGAACTAATGCTCTGGAAAACGAGTAAAAAAACGACAAAAAAACATTAACCCTAACCCTTACCCTAACCCTAACCCTAGCCCTAGCCCTAATCCAAAGGCTATTAGGAAGGGGTACAGCTAATTGCAATTCTAAGCCTAATCCTGAACCATTGCTGGCGAAAACGATCGAAAAACTATAAAAAAACATTAACCCTTAACCTAACCCTAACCCTAACCCTAACCCCAACCGTAACCCTTAACCTAAACCAAAATCTAAGACCAAGGCATACAGCAAATTACAATTCTAAGACACAGGCAATGCGAATACTGGTGCAAACGCAATAACAATCGCTAACCCTGAACCCTAACCCTAACCCTAACCCTAACCCTAACCCAACCCTAACCCTAACCCTAGCCCTAACTCTAGCCCTAGCCCTAAACCAAAGACTATTAGGAACGGGTACAGCTAATTGCAATTCTAAGCCTAATCCTGAACCAATGCTGGCGAAATGATCAAAAAACGATAAAAAACATTAACCCTAACCCTACCCCTAACCCTAACCCTAACCCTAGCCCTAGCTTTAAACCAAAGGCTATTAGGAAGGGGTACAGCTAATTGCAATTCTAAGCCTAATCCTGAACCATTGCTGGCGAAAACGATCAAAAAACTATAAAAAACATTAACCCTTAACCTAACCCTAACCCTAACCCTAACCCCAACCGTAACCCTTATCCTAAACCAAAATCTAAGACCAAGGCATACAGCTAATTACAATTCTAAGACACAGGCAATGCGAATACTGGTGCAAACGCAATAGCAATCGCTAACCCTGAACCCTAACCCTAACCCTAACCCTAACCCAACCCTAACCCTAACACTAGCCCTAACTCTAGCCCTAGCCCTAAACCAAAGACTATTAGGAACGGGTACAGCTAATTGCAATTCTAAGCCTAATCCTGAACCAATGCTGGCGAAATGATCAAAAAACGATAAAAAACATTAACCCTAACCCTAACCCTAACCCTAACTCTAACCCTAACCCAAACCCTAACCCTAATCCTAAACCAAAATATAATACCAAGCCATTCAGCTAATTGCAATTCTAAGACACAGGCAATGCGAATTCTGGTGCAAACGCAAAATCAAACGCTCACCCTAACCCTAACCCTAACCCTAACCCAAATACTGACCCTTGCCCCGAACCAAATCTAATACCTAAAGTTTCCATTTATTTGAATTTCTAAGCCTGGCTTTGAACTAATGCTGTTGAAAACGAGTAAAAAAAAGACAAAAATCATTAACCCTAACCCCAACCCTAACCCTAACCCTAACTCTAGCCATAGCCCTAAACCAAATCTAATACCCAAGCTTACATTTATTTGCAATTCTAAGCCCGGCCTTGAACTAATGCTGTTGAAAACGAGGAATAAAAACGACATAAAAACATTAACCCTAACCCTAACCCTAACCCTAACCCTAATCCTAACCCTAGCCCTAACTCTAGCCCTAGCCCTAAACCCAAGGCGATGAGGAAGG